TGGGTCCTAAATCCAAAATAACTTACCTATAAAGTATCGTTCCTGGAACATTGTGCATATGTGGCCAATAAATGATCTACCACCGCTTATCTCCCCAGCTATACCTCTTATTCATACACCCTCTGCGGTGCTTATTTTGTGGCTATTGGTGATGCAGGTCCCTACCTTGCTAATTTTTGTGCCCTCCCTACCAAAGTCCCCTTATCAAAGCCCTACATTTTTTCAAGTCCTGCCCTGAATCCCGCCTCCTGCAGAAGCCTTCCCAATTGTAGCCCTTGATGCCTGAATTCCTGCAGTACTTATTAGGTGTCCACTTCACATTGAACATACATTCTCTGTGCTGATTTACCTCTTTAGGTGTATGGTTTGTCTCAGATTAGGTGGCCTTCTCTTTATATTCCTCTGCCCCGGTGAAGGACCCATAACAGATGGTCAGAGTGCACAACTCCTGTACTTCAAACTACAGCATGGTAGTCTTCACTGTTGCAGCTTTTAATGGGCTAAAGACAGCCTTGTGTAAGTGTTGGCAGTGATTTCATTTGTAAATTAGTAGAGTTGGGGGAATGGAGAAGGGAATGGCAATGGTTCAAAGGTCTGACTATAAATCTCTAAATCAGCTAAATTTTTTTAATTTAATTACAGTCCTTTCCTTTCTGCTTCCTGGTGTAATGATGTCCCTTCCCAAACATATTTTGTGATTTGTCTGTTTTTGTACCGATTTTCTCTTCCTTGTGCCCATGTTTTCATTATAAGTCATCTGAAACCCTCCTTAGAAATAGCTGGGGTATGAATAATTTCTCTGAAAGTCTTAGTGATAGAGCCAAATATAGTATTCTCTATTTTACTCTTTTATTCTTTACCTCCTTTTGTACTGGTTTTCACTCAGATTAAATCTTATATTCAGTGAAATAGATGGAGATTTATTAATGACTTTAAAGCTGTATCTCCAGAGTTAATCCTGGAGCCTTTTAATCCTCTTCTACATTTTAAAGTCTGGACTGCAAGGAAATTCCTTAGGGAAAAAATTTTTTTTCGTGGTTTGGTGACTAAAATAATTGAGCTCTGGGGCGAGGGGCTTACACTTGAATGCAGATTTGACTCAGGTGGAGACTTTCCCACCCCTCTTCTTTCCCATCTCTGAGGAAGAAGCATTTTCTGTTTTTCTTTCAAGACTTCTCTACGTGTCCTCCTGATTTTATCCATCATACCTTCTTCGGTTACCCTCCTTGCCTGTATCTTTAATCTTCTCCCTCCATGGGTTGCTTGTACTCTGACTGCATGATCAAATCTCTCCTATCCTAGAATAACTTTCCCTTGACCCTGAATCTTCTGAAAACAACCCCTCTCTTCTTCCTTTCTTAGACAAATATCTTGAAAGAGGTACTCTGTCCACTTTCCCATTCATTTATAATAAATAATAACATTTACTGAGTGCCTCCTCAATTCCACACATGATGCCAGACATTGTGAATGGTGGTGGAGAAGACGCTACCCCTCCCTCTTGGAGTTCAGCCTCCAGGCCAAGCCTCAGTTTTTGAAGTGGCGCAGAAACTGCTCAAAGCTGTCTGGGGCTCTCCTTGTCTCCAAATTCTATGGCTCTTCTCAGTCCTTCCCCCTCAGCAGCATGAGACAGTTAATAATGTCTTGAAACTCAATAGTTCTCACTCAGAAATCATTCTTCGTGTTCAAGATCCTTTGATGAGTACAGAGAACAAACACAGGATCTACCTTTGAAAGCTTACCCATAAAATATCATATAGCCAAATGAACAGAGCTTTCCCTAAGTCCAGCTTCATGGGGAAAATACTTTGAAAAAGGGAAAAGCTCAGAGCACTCAATATGCCTACCATTGATCTCAATATACAAATTCAGACGTATTAACCAGTCATCAAACACACGGTGAATGACGTCAGGAGTACAGCAAGTCCTCAAATAACGTCATTTCATTATAAAGTTGATAAGAAAAAAAAATTTGATCTCTTGCTGGTGCCACTGCCTGTGCGGTGTTTGCATGCTCTCCCCGAGCCTGTGTGGGTTTTCTCCCGGTCCACCAGTTTCCTCCCACGTTCCAAAGATGCGCGCACGAGGTGAACTACCACGTCTACACACTGTTCCAGTCTGAGTGAGTGTGGGTGTGTGTGAGTGTACCCTCGAATAAGCAGCCTGTCCTGGGTGGGTGCAAGGACACTCTAAGGTGCCAGGTTAGGCTCTGGCCACTTGTGACCCTGAATTGGAAAGAGGGTTGGAGAACAATTATATTATTTGTTTTTATTCATCTTTCTGAAATGTCTGTATAGCTCACATTTATTTCAATGTTTAATATTAGAAGTGCTTTGGATCTTTATTTAGAAGTTTGAAGATATTTTTTGTGACCAGATATGCCATAGGAACTCTTGTTTATATCAATTAGCCTATGGTAAGACCGATTTCATTATACGTCATTTCCCTTAAAGCTGCACTATCAAAGACATTGAGTGAGGACTCACTGTAAGAGTGTCATATCCTTTGATAACACATTGATTGCTGCAAATGTTCACCATTCCTGATTTTCTCTGTGTACACCAGCCCATCCAAGTGTCCCCCAGAATGAAAATTGTTTGGACATGTTCTTAGTCAAAGACATTACAGCCCATAGAAATAGAAAAATATAAAGCGTACTTCGTTGAAATGAAAAAAATATATATTCATTTTCCTAAGATTCTGGGTAAAAGCGTTGTTTATGTTTTGCTGGCTCATTAGTTCCCCTTCCCCCCACCACCAATACAGGTTCTCTGCCCTCTGTCAAAAGCCCCCTTTCTTTCTGAGTCCCCAGAGGTGGTCTTTAGTGCGTTTCATCCTATAGCATCTGCTGCTGTTCCTCAGTGCCCTGATGAGCAAGCTCGATGCTGGTGAGCACCCCAAATCTCTGGAGAGCCTCTCTGTCCTTGGCAGAGTGAAGAAGAGATCTTTGTATTTCATATCATAGAATATGTGAAGGGTGTCCCAAAGCAGTGTTGCTTAGGCCTCAGCACCTACAAAAGTGTTAGTGAAACCAGTTCTTGTATTTTTTATATTCTCTCGCCTCATTATGAGTTCAGAGTGGGGATCCAACTATCCTCAGCGCTACTGGTTCTCTATAAGGCTGTTCCTGGGTTAAATTACCAGCTCATTATACCCCCATCGCGTCCCACCCATTCCTCTGATACACCCAGATATGCCCAAAATGGCAGAATCCAGGCTCAAGCTGAGGCAGAGTTCATCATAACTCACAAGTATTGATACAAAGCAAGGTGCAGCTTAAGACCAGGCAGGAAGGCCTGATCTAGAAGTCCCTGGAACCCAGAGACAGCAAGTGCACTGATGAGTCGTGGTTGAGGCATGACTCCGGAGTTAGGGAAAGGACCTTACTGTGGAAGAGCTCGGCCAAGCTCTTAGGTTGTAGCTGTCTGACACCTTACCCATGTCACCTGGAGTGACTAAAAGGACTAAATGAACACAAATCCTGCCGGTACCTTCCAATTGCTCGTGGAGTGTGCAAAGTGAGCGTTTTTATCCTTATTATAAGGAGGGTGAGGCTTGCTAAGGACACTTATCTATTTTATCCTCTTAGGACAGGCCATAGCCCCTGCGTCAGGGCCACTTACTAGTCCATTTGTGTGAACTGGTAAGAGGTACCTCCTCTTGGTGGATCTATCTGGCAATGGAAAAACAGCTTTCACCACACGTGCCCCCCTTAGATTCTCCAGAGCAGACAGTTATTAAGGGAAGAAGAATGGCACATCAGAGCCATCATGACCTACCTTTTACATGTGGGGAAATCGAAGCCCAGAGAGGAGAAGGAATGGGGCTGAGGTCACACAATGAGAAAGTGACAACAAAGAATAGAGCTCAGGTCTCCTGAAGCCCAGTTCTGGTAACTTCCGCTGATCATCTCTGCCTGTGAGAAGCTGCAGCTCATGGCCCCATGGGAAGAGCCAGGGAACAGAGCAGGCTTAAGGATTGACAAACTCAGACCCAGGGGTCCCTTCTCTCTCACTCAGCGTTCTTATTAAACATGTCCATTACACAAGACAGGGAGGATCTCAGTCCTGGGTACGCATGAGGGGGTGATGACAAAAGATGAGAACATAAATGGAGGCAGATGATAGTAACCATTTCTGCAGTCCATTCTCCACGTCCCCAACACAGATGGAGAACCGCAATTCTGGCCTTCCTAGAACAGCGGTTCTCAAATTCTGCTGTGCACCAGAATCAAAACCACAAATTGTTGGCCCCACCCCCAGAGTTTTTGATTCAGTGGGTCCATCTTCCAAACGTGATGGAAAGAGCCAGGCTCTGCCAGGGACCTGGGTTCTAGTTCCAGCTTCATCACTGACTAAATGTGCAACCCGGAGCAAGTCACTTCCTTCCCCTCTTTAGTCCCTAGAAGAGGCCCAGTGCTGCCAGCTCTTCCCCAGCCAGGGCCGTATCTACCAGGGTTCATCTCTGTATCCCCAGATTCTTGGTGCAGTGTGCTTGAGGAGCAGCTGGTGAATTAATTCGATGGCCTTCAAGCTTCCTTCCAGCTCAGACTCTGGGATTCTGACCTCTTTTTCCTTCCAAATCCGAGCTTTTCCAACTCTCCAGTTGGACATGATATTTGAGGTCTTTCTAGGACAAGGGGAAGAGAGGGTGCTGACAAACCAGACAATCGTTGAGGGGAAAGAGCCCTGGAACAGCCCTTGAGCAGAGGGAATCAGGCCACCAGAGAGCAGACACCTGACTCTCAGGGACAGCTCAGTGTGCGTGCCCGGGTCTAGGCTCTCACCCAGGATCCAGAGAGCCCGGGAGGTTAGACTCAGCCCCCAGCCAGACGAGGATCCAGCAAGGGGCGCCAGAGAGAAGGGCAAGGCCAGTCTGGTCAGCCCAGGTGTCCAGTCTGAGGTGGGATGGTGCGTTGTAGGGGCGTGGACATCACCAAGGCACGCCCCGGCCGCACTTAAGTAACTGTGAGCCCGCGCTGGGAGGAAGGAGGGAGAAAGCCCCGGCTGCTGCTGACCCAACTCGGACCCAGACCTAGACCCAACCAGCACCCACTCCGGCCCCAGCTAGCTCTAGATCGCGCCATGCGGGGCTCGAGTGCGGCTCTGTGGTTCTGCCTGGCTCTGCGCACTGGTGAGGCCCCGCCGCCCAGCCGTGGGAGCAGGAGCCGGGGCGGGGGTTCTAGAGCTCCCCAGAGCCCCCTGAGCAGAGTCTTAGGGGCTGGGAAGTGTGCCCTGAACCCGTGTCTCGCGAATGAGGACGATAGCGGGAACTAGCATTGACCAGGGCAGACTGGGAAGTCTGGAGGGCTTCTTGGAGGAAGTGGCATTGAGCTGGGCCTTGAAAAAGCGGCCCCTCTGACGTGCCAAGGAGAAGCGCGGGCAGAGGCGTGGATGGGAGAGCCTCGGAGTGTCGGGAGAACGTCCGGGAGGGTGAACGCTCCTGATGGCCGTGGAAGCCAGAGGAGGGTTTGGAGGCCAGAGTGACTCTACTTCTCTGGAGGCCCCGCCGGGAAGAAGGCGGGGGAAAATTAGGAGGGATGGGAGGGGAGAAGGCGCGAGATAGCTCCCAGGTGACCTCTCCAGGGAGACCTGCCCGATGCAGGGATGGAGGAGGGGCGCAGACGCGGGCTCCTGGCGTCCGCGCCGCTCCCCTCGGGAGGAAGTCAGGGCCGGGACTGTGAGCGGTGAGGCGAGACCTCCGCGAGCAGCGAGCAGGGATCGCAGGAGATTACTGGAAGGACGGGTTCACGTCACCGCTCCTCCCTCATCGATAGAAACATATGGACCGGCCACCCCGGTCCGACCTGCGCGGCTGCCCGCGATCGGGGTGCAGTCTGGAGCACTGGAGAGGGGAGGGCAGTTCCACATTCCGGGGTGACGCCGGGAGTTGGGGAGACTGAGGGAGGTGCAGGGGAGACTGTGCAAACCCGCGGCCCTAGCCTTGGCGTGGGAATGAGAAGCACAAGCTGCCAGGAGAGGGTGACCCGGTGGTCCCTGGGAGCGGAAACTGGACCCAGAGCCGCGCATTTCCCAGGAGCACAGGCCTCCCCAGCAATCCTGGCTGGTCAGGATGGGTGGCGGAGGAGCTCCTCAAAGGCATCAACCTCAGGGAACTCTGGCACCGCTCTGCCGGGTCACCAGGCGGGGAGTTCTCTGGGACTCTGACCTGGTCAGGTCATGGGACCCAAAAGAGTCCCCACAGGAAGGAGAGGGCTAAGTGGAAGTCCACTTAGGACTTGCGTGTCCTGGTTCTCAACATAGGTTTATTTATAACACAGAAAGTGGATTTTCTCATCTTCTTTCTCAGATGATGAAATAGGCTCAGAGAGGTCAAATAAGTTGCCTTAAGTCACCAGCTAGAGGAGCAGGAACTCGAAGCCAGCCTACTGCGTCCTCAGCCTCCCCTTGGCAGGGGCCTGGCACTGTGTCCCCTGAGGGTGGGTTTGCAGCAGGCATAATCTCAGATGCTCCAAGAGGGGCATCACTGGGCAGCCACAACCACTTCCCTGTCTCATGTCTCAGTTCATGAGGAGGGCCCAGGAACACTGCTTAGTGAGGAACCCTGTCCAGCATTCTCCTGGAGGACAGGGAGGCCCAAAGAGGGGCAGGAACTTGCCTACTTACAGAGCCAGCAGGACTCCCCAGCCCATGCTCCTTCTAACCGCCCCTGCCCCCACGCTGTGATGGCAGGGAGGGTAAGGGTAACCTCACAAAGAGGGGCACTCCCTTGCCTCTGTTAAGCACCAGGCTCTGAGCCATCCATCTACCCTGAGCACTGGGCCATGCATGGCCTCGCGCACAACTCTGCCAATGAGCCAGCCTTTCCCAGTCTGTGACACCTCTTTGTGCGTTAGTGCTTCCCAGTGGGAGGGCTGTGCTGCTGCAGAGGACTGGGTCATACAGAGTTGCCGAAGCCACCCTCTGCAGGTGGGGGCTGTAGGCTGGAGACTCATAAGGAGCTGGGCCTCACGGTCCCCTATCCCCAGCACTCAGCGGGATGGAGGTGCGGTGGTGCACCACCTCAGACCCCGAGCAGCAGAAATGCAGCGACATGAGCAAGTCCTTCCAGGAAGCCGGGATTCAGCCCTCCCTCCTGTGCGTTCAGGGCACCTCAGCCGACCACTGCGTCCAGCTCATCACCGTGAGTCCTCTCCCTTCCTCTCTGCCACCACAGCCTGCCAGACAAGAGGGCTCTGACTCAGGAGGGAGCACACAACAACTTCATTCACTGGGAAAGTCACCTATGCCCACCCCTCTGCCCCCCACCCCGCCAGGATTGGGCGATAGGATCTCCTGAGTTTCCCAGGCAACAAGGGCCAGCTTGTTTCCTGCCCAGGCCAGGCCTTCGGGTGTTGGGAGGCCTCAAAAAGGGCCCCTGCTCAGATGGGCGCCAGTGGAGAAAGGTGTCTGAGAGGCAGAGATTTTCTTCTACAAGGCCTCAGCCGGCATGGGGATACTACCCAGCCCACCAAGGGGAGCCCAGGTAGCAGACTCCTAGTGGCCCATGGTGGTTATTCACTCTGCCATGGAGTTTTCCAAAACCGGGCTTGTGTGGTTTCTGGGGAAGGAGGAACGGGGGCCTCTGGGGAAGGAGGAACGGGGGCCAGCAGTCCTGGCGGTGCGAGTAGGGGGTGGGAAACCAGTTCTGAGTGGCAGAACATCTGATAACCCAGCACTGACAATATTCAGAGGCAGGAATTTAGTGGCAAGACATGGTAAGGATGGAAGCCTCAGGGGCAAACTCATTTCAGCTCAGCTTATGATGCGTCCCAAGACCTAATCCAGCCATGGTCCCAGGTGGGCCAAGGGCTTGGGTCAGGCTCCACTGTGAGGGTCGAACTATAATTCTCTTCACGGACTCCCTGACGCACTGACAGTATACTGTCATTTGTGTTTTAAAATAAAAAGGGAGAAACTGAAGAGAGCATTTATGGGATTCAGTCTGCAGCTTAGAGAGAAACCCCAAGAAACAGGTTAACAGGAGGCAGGGGGCTGAGAAACAAGAGAGTGAGGGAGACTCGCTTTTTACTACATACCATTTTGTACTACCTGATTTTTTTACTATGTATATCTATTATAAGTCCTATAAAATTAATAATATTTTTCAAATAACAACTAGAAAAGCAAGGTGAGCCTTGGGCCTAGGAGAGCTGTCACCTTGGGCCTGGTAACGTGGGAGAGCCCGAGGCCCTGGTGGCGGAGGGACCTGCTAGGCTGAGCCAGGACAAGGCTCCTGGGCCAGACTAAGAGGATCAGTGTGGACGTCTGGGGCTTTTCAGTGGGCCCTAGGCAGACTGGTGGGTGTCCTTGAGCTTCTCTCTGAGTGGGCCAGGGGGCCAGGTGGGGCTGACTCACATGTTCCCAGCAGACCCTGGAGGCTGACGCCATCACTCTGGATGGAGGAGCCATTTATGAGGCGGGAAAGGAGCATGGCCTGAAGCCCGTGGTGGGTGAAGTGTATGATCAAGGTTAGAGGGCCAAGTGGGAGGAGGGTGGAAGGAGAGAGGAAGTCACTCAGCAGTGTGTCCTTATTGGGCTTGGCCCGACCCTGTAGCCCCAGAGCTGGTCAGTAGCCCTGTCCCCAGAGCGGCCCTGGATTCCTGGCCACACAAACCTCAGAGGCCCCACTAAATCTCTCTTGACCACCACCTGCTTTGGGAGCTGCCAGAGACACAGAAGGCTGACCGGTGTCTGTTTTTCCTCATGAGGAGCCTAGCCTCCCCCCTAACTTTTATCTGCATGCTCTTACTGAGGGGGTGCTACACGTCTGGTGTAGTGTTGAACATGATTGGGGTGAACAAGGCATCAGTAATACTCATTTTCTTCACACTTGAATGACCCTCCGTCAGAAGTGGCAGGAGTAGGAATGAGGCCAGGCAAGTGGTGGTCACCAGGAGTTGCTAAGCTGGACAGAATTAAGAAGGAAGCTCACCCTTCTGTGACCTTCTGTGACCTTGGACGACCTCCACTTCCTTGACTATAAAATAGAGATAGTGATCCCTGTCCCGTCATGCAGACAGAATGAGCCAGTATGTGCACAGCTGATATGTGTTATGTGGTCAGAAACATGAGTTCCTTTGCCCCTGTCACTGCACCTCTCACCAGACATGCCTCAGGCTTAGCCTGCTCTTTGTACCCTGCCACCTCTACTTGTCTAGTGCCTAGCCTCCGTCACAGCCCAGGTCAGTTGTCACCTCCAAGGAGCTCCCTTGAGCCTGCAAAGGGCCTTACCTTCCCGCTTCCCAGAGTACTGACTCACTCGGCTGAGGTCCTGTCTCCTTCTGTCTGGTTTTCTTTGTCCTCACCACAGTGAGGCCCTAGTCCTCATCTTTGGTACCCAGCACAAGGTCTTGCTTGGTTACTTGTTGACTTAATAACTGTCAGATGACATGGGACACAGTCCAGCCCTGCGAACCAGCCAGCCTCTCCACTCAGTGGCCCGAAACGGCCCTGCTTCATGGGCCCCAAACACACCTCTTCCTTTTTAATTAATTCAACATATTTATTGAGCACCTACTGCATGCCAGTCATGAGCCTAGAGTAGTAAGCACAAAGACAATTCCTGCCCTCAAAGAGTGGGAGTCAGACAATAAACAAATACACAGAAAAAAAAAGTTAGAAATGTGAGTGCTGTGAAGAAAGTGGAGTTCATTAGGGAGAAAATAAGGGGCATGAGGGGACCTCTCGAAATAGAGCAGACAGGAGGGCTTCTCTGGGCAGGTGACATTTAAATCGGACCAGACAAGGGTCCCAGGTAGAAAAGAGTTTGATGTGCTCAAGGAACGAAAAAGAAAGGCACAGTGGGCAGGTCAGAGGGTGGGACCAGACGAGGCCGCTTAGGTTGGCAGAGAACAAACTCAGGTATGAAAAAAAATAACACTGGCTTTGTTTTCTAGAAATCAACTTTATTCTGATCATGGGCACCCACCACCACAGGTGGTTGTGTGTGTGTGTGTACGTGTGTGTGTGTGTGATGAGATACCCTCTGGTCATCAGTCCCCATAGATGAGTCATCCCTGTCTTGTCTGAATGGCCCCTTCTGGGCCTCATTTGGCCCAGGGGAATCTTCTGCGAGGCTGTAGACTCCTGCCCACCCGTATGCACCCCATTCAGGATCTTGAGTAATGTGGGACCACCCTGTTAGCACCCTCTCTCTCCCCGCCCCCCTTCCTCTCAGCACTAGGTAATCACTTCTTCTAATCTGGGGAAGGCCCCGCCCTGGTCCCCCTGTGCCTCCCAACCACTCCTCTCAACCCTTCCAAGTTCTCCAAAGTGCCTTCACTTTTGGAAAACAAAACCCTTAGGCCACTTCTGCTTTTGGTCCAGCTATAGCGCTCCCCTGACATGCACAAATGTAGACCCAGCTAAGTGCCAGCTGACTTGGGAAAGAAAAGGGGAAAATTAACTAACGAGGCTGGAGGAGGGTGAGGTCTGTGATAAGACATGTGGATTGCACTCACTTGCTCTCTAAAACACCACGCACACGTACACCTGCACATCCATGCACATGCGTGTGCACATGTACATCCATGTACAGGTTCGCACGTGAGTGTGCACACACCCTTCTCCCACAGCCTCCCCAGGCAGGGTCCCAGCCTCTTTCATGGCTTCCCCTTGCTGCCCTCACTCATCTCCTCTCCTCCTCCTAGAGGTTGGTACTTCCTATTATGCTGTAGCTGTGGTCAAGAGGAGCTCCAATGTAACCATCAACACCCTGAAAGGTGTGAGGTCCTGCCACACGGGCATCAACAGGACCGTGGGCTGGAACGTGCCCGTGGGCTACCTGGTGGAGAGCGGCCGCCTCTCGGTGATGGGCTGCGATGTGCTCAAAGGTGAGAGTTCATGGCACGCGGGGGCTCCTCCTGCAGGGGCTCCAGGGTTTCCCTCTCTTTGCCGCTGCTCCTGCTCTCCCCACTCCCGCCCCCCAGAGAGCCTCCCTCCAGGCTCACCTTCATCTTGCACCTCATTTAAGGAACAGCACAGTCCCACCTCTCCCATGGCCCTCCCTGTCCTCATCAGTGGCATCACTCCCTTCTGTCCTCCATGCTGGCCAGCCTGGTGTTGCCACCACTTTAGTTTCTGCTTGACAGTCTCTCCAGAGCATTCAACTCTCAGTCACTGATCACCGGGTCCCACCACACAGCCAAGCACTGGGATGTGGCGAATGGCGGAAGCGCAGGCCTCACCCACTGTAGACCTGGTACAGGCCACTATTTCCAGAAATGTTTCCTCAACTTTACAGGGTCAGAAACTCTATTTCTTCAGGACCCAAATTGGCTGCTGACTTGTACCCGAAAGCTCACAAGTGGCTAATCGGAGACTCGCAGCTCCCCAGTCGATTCATTTGCAGTGAGAATAGAGCTGTCGTGCACACAGGATGGGAGTTGAGAGTGATCCCAATGGGGCCACGGACAACAAAGTTCATGGCGGCGGGGGGGGCGGAGGGGTGAGGCGAAGCCCCAAGAGTCCTGGCCTAGACTTAGAGACCTCGTTCTGGCCGCCTCGGCAGAAGCCCTGTTTCTCATGCTTTGGGCTTCTTTTCTTGGTCTCCTGCTGGCCACCCAGCTGTGTCAGTCTTTCCAGAGTAGACACAATACAGCGATGAAGATGTCAGGTGGTCCCTGACATATTCTCACACCACTCTCCTAGGATCACACCACCCCCTGAATAGAGTTTGGGGTGTCTCCAAATCCCCTGTCCACAAGTATGCTGCCTCCTGTCTGTACCACAGGTGACCAGTGCTTCTGGGGGTGGGTGCAGGGTGCGAGAGCATGCAGGAGAAACAATGGTCTTTTAAAGCCCTGACTTTGCGTCCAATAGATGTGGGCCTAAACCCGAACTCAGCGTGATCTACCCTCTGAGAGGTTCTCTACCTCCATGAACTTCAGTTTTCTCATCTTGTAAAATGGAAAAATTAACTACAGCGCTGTGAGGTTGGGAGGAGTGAGATAATTCACACCACGTCTTCGCACAAAGCATGGCACAGGGTATGTGCTCACCACAGGGAGCCGTAGTTATGAGCTCAACTTCCATACCTCCCAGTGGGCTCCTCACTGTTGTGCACACACACGCATGCCTGTACACACGTGCACAAACCCAGATGCACGTATACACACATGTGGGAATGCACACACATGCATACACATGTATACACTGCCCCCGTACCGCCCCAAACACTGTGTAAACCAGTGCAACCCACAAGAGCCCAGAAGCCGTGTCCTCTCAGATGGTGGCCAAGTCTGGGTGGTTTATCAGTCATTTGGCACATTTATTAAATATCTTCTCCCCTGGGAGGATGCAAAAAGAAGACCAAGAATGGGAACTTGGAAGAGTTTGGTTTAGCTGGATGATGAGCATGATTTGACCGGTTCAGTGAAGAGCTGGCATCCTGCTCATCCTGTGTGGCACTGGGGCTTCCTCAGCACAGGATAAATATTTGCCAAGAGGGTGGACACAGGGCTGGGAAACCATGCAGATCCGACCTCTTCACACATGACACCTCCCTCTCCTATTTCCTTCCACTCCCTGTGCTTTGAGAAGTGTTGCCTATCAAATTAATTATACTTATTAAGTAATAATTTATTTCTTTCCCCACTTTTATTAATTACCCATACTGATTTCGAAATGAAACCTTCAATGAGAATAGTATCTCGTTGATAGTTAGTTGTCCTACGTCGCTGTTTTGGAGTAAACATTTTATTTCCCTGAGCCATTTTTGAATAACTGTCACTCCCTAATGTCCACACTTTTGTGGCCCTAGTTTGGGAAACACTGATGAGACCCAGTCCCCCAATTTTGCTCAGACTGAAGCCTGAAGGGTCCAGCCACGTCTCCAGGGAGCGCAGCCCTCCTCTCCAGCCTGAGTGGCCTGAGCCCTCCCCAGCGGACAGGGGAGGGAGTTTGGCGCTGTGTGGCTGACTGACCTCCTTCTGCCTCCTTCCCACAGCTGTCAGCGACTACTTTGGGGGCAGCTGCGTCCCTGGGGCAGGAGAGACTAGATACTCCGAGTCCCTCTGTCGTCTCTGCCGGGGCAACAGCGCTGGAGAGGGCGTGTGTGACAAGAGCCCCCTGGAGAGATACTATGATTACAGCGGGGCCTTCCGGTAAGAGGAGGCCAGGCGGGGCTGGCGCTCAGGCGGAGCTGAGTCAGGGGAGAGAGGCCACAAGAACTAGGGAAAAACAACTCCTCCGCAGAAAGGGCCCTGGGGGAGTGGCAACGTCCACTCCATCTCATCAAAGCACCCTTTATATAGTTCATGTGCCCTGGTTGGTTTAAAAATATCAAACCAGAATTTGCCAGACTGGATTTGCTCATAAGTCAACATGTTTGGTATATTTAGAGAAGTAAGGGCTTAGTGCAAAGAAAATGACAAAACAGCCTTTTGCCACTCCCAGGTCCCCACTCTGGTGTCTCAGAGCAGCAGGGAGGATGGTAGGGGTGAGGGACTATGGCAGGGACCCCTCGGTTCAGGCTGTCACTTTAGATGAGCCCACCATGGATCCAAAACAGAATCTCTAACTGCTGCAGTACATTTCCATCTGTCCACAAATGAGGAAACGTGCTTCGTGGAGGATGGAATGGAAGCCTGCTGAGTCCCTCCAATCACCCTAGCTTTAGTGCTTCCACTTGGAAGGAGGAAGCCGGCTAATGCCCAAGCTCCAGGATGTGATCTGAGTAAATGCCCGTTTGGGGCACAGAGAGAGAAACAGTCCTCAGTCCTCCAAGCCAGAGACTGTCACCCACCTCACCTTTCCTGGTATCGTCTGTCCAGCCAGTCCCTGCTTATCTGCTGTCTGTGGAGACCTGGGCAGCCCCTTTGCCCAGTAAGCCCTGACCTGCCTCCCTCACTGGGCAGTGACATATAGAAGATATAGAAAAGTGCTGGTCCCTTCCACTCAGGGTTTTTGGTATGGCCCAATCCCCTGCCTCAGGACAGTCATCTTCAAAACCCCCCGAGCGTTAAGGCTGTTGATGATACTAGTTGCCATATAAGCTTCTGACCCTTTCAGGCCGATTTTTGGTATGGCCCAATCCCCTGCCTCAGGACAGAGTCATCTTCAAAAACCCCCGAGCATTAAGGCTGCTGATGATATTAGTTGCCATATAAGCTACTGACCCTTTCAGGCCAAGGCTGCACAGGCTCTATACAGACTGTAAAGGACCTCACCCTATAGGAGCCACTTTCTCATTCCCACCTCACAGGTGATAAGGCTAGGGAGGCTCTACAAATTGGAAAAGCCATACAGCCGACAAACCAGAGAGTTGGAACCTGGGACGGCATGACTCTGAAACACATGCCCACCATGACCACCCCACAGTCCAAGCCAGACCTTAGAGGTGGAGGATGGGTGGTTGCCAAGGGGTTTGGGGAGCTCAGCGCCACCCAGGCTCATGGGTTTCTCCTCCTCAGGTGCCTGGCAGAAGGGGCAGGGGACGTGGCCTTCGTGAAGCACAGCACGGTGCTGGAGAACACTGATGGTGAGTGGGAGGGGCTGGCCTCGGGAACAGGGAAAGGAAGCTGGGTCTCAGCAGTGGAGTTCAAACTGCTCTGCAGGCAAGCGGGCCAGGTGAGCAGCTCTGACCTGCCCGGATTTGTACATGGCGCTGGGTTTCCTTTACACTTGAAGATTGGGTTCTGCTTTTGAAAAAAATTTGCAAATCTCTGCCCTAGCTCTCATCTACCTCCTTTCCTGTCATTTTTCTCCCCTTATCTGAAGAAGCCACCCCTTATCCCTGGATGAGGTCTTATTAAAGATGGGTTAGTGTTATGTATTGATCTATTATATCATTGTCATTTAAATGTTTTTTTTAATTTTGAACTAATTGAGCTTTAGAAAAGTTGCAAGAATAATTCAAAGAATTCCCACTTATTTTTTACCCAGATTCCAACCTTTAGCATTCATCACATCGATTTATTGTTCTTTCTATACTTATGTGTTCTTTCCATACTTATGTGTTCTTTCCAAACCATTTGAGAGTACATTTGTCTGCATCAAAGTCCTTTAATACTTCAGTATGCATCTCCTAAGAACTAGGAGATGTGGATCAAGCCACAATACAGTTATCAAATTTGGGAAATGTAACAACACAATAGTATTATCTAATCTACAGTCCATATTCCAGATTCACTAATTGTCCCAATTCTGTCCTTTGCAGCAATTTTTTTCAGACCAGGACCTAATAATGTAAGGTCGCATGTGGTATTTAGTTGTTAGGTCTCTTTAGTTCCCTTTGACTTTAAACAGTTTCTCAATCTTTTCTTTTTTTTTTTTTTTTGTGACATCGACACTTTTGAAGAGTCAGCCTAGTTATTTTATAGACGGTTCCCTAATTTAGATTTGCCTAAGGATCCTTTATTTTTTTAACCGAGATATAATTTACATACAGCAAAAGGCATTCTTTTTGAAATACAGCTCCATGAGTTTTGTCAAAAACATACAGCTGTATAACCACCACTACAAATAGTGATTGTAACAGACCCTTCACCTCAAAATTTTCTTCTAGTCACCCCTACCCCTGCCCATCCTGGCAATTACCAATCAGACATTTGCCTCTATAGTTTTGGCTATTTCAGAATATCAGATCATTGTCCATTTTTTTAAATCATTCTCTTTTTTTTGTTAATCTTTGCCTTTCAAATCAGAAAGTCCGCCATGTAGTCTGACATTCATGAAGACAAACAACATGAGCCAGATTTGAGAGAGGAAAAAAAAGTGATCTAAAAAGGAGGAAGAAAAAAAAAGTTAGGAAACTATCATTGATCAAAAAAAAAAAAAAAGGGAGGAAGAACAGGATTGTATCTAGAGCAGGATGATCCTATGAAAATGGGCAGCAGGGACCTGGGCCCAAGATGAGTCAAACAAAGGAACATTTGGAAAGTGGAGAAAGAAAAAGGATATACTGAGCTAAAATGGGCTCTTTTAAAATTTTGATGGAAATCTAAGGAAGTAATTTTTTTAAAGAGTGTCTTCATGCAAAACGATTGGTAAGAGCAAAAAGAGTGAAATTGACATAAATGTCTAAGGTAGTGAAGCAACACGGCTTTAATTGTCCCTAGCCAGTAGAAGACAAGAGTGGCAGATCGAAACACCTACGTGATGCATTTGTTTCATGGGAAGGCTAAATGATCCCCCAGATTTCTATACAAGGGTTTTGCAGCAGTTTAAAAATAGAGAAAAGGGGAGTTGGGAGAGAATGACACTCAGTAATTGTTCAGAGCGCTATAAATTATCATGCAGTCATTAAAAATGACCTTTATGGAGTTTTCCAAACTATTACTCTTTTGGTTTGGGAGTTTTGTTTTTAAATAGGTTTGGAGTGAACGGAGTTTTCATGATCCCAACAAATTATCTGTTCCCCTCCTATTTCCTAGCAGAGATTTATCTTCCTCATTTTAAAATTAGTCTTCTTAATTTTCCTACTTGGTGTCAATATTCACTCTTTCAAATAAATCTTATTTTCTATTATAAATGAGCTTTATGGAATGTTTCCAATAATGTGGGAAAATACTGTAAAATGAACAAGTGAACAAAAAAGAGGATGCAACATTGCCTATTAAGTATATTCTTAACCATATTAAAAATGTTTAAAAACTAAAATGGAAATAGGACTTAGAGGATATATACCAAAATATTAATAGTTGGATTAATATTGTATTAATATGTAGGTGAAGCTTTGGGGAGTTACACTTTCCTCTCTGGGACACAGTTCTGGGTGGAGTCTATCAGAGTTTGTTTCCATCGTGGCCCCCTCCCCGCTGCCTGATGCTCTCTGCTCAGAGCCAAATTTAGTGCCTGATGGTAGAAATGAACTCCTGGTGTATTTCTCTCTCTCGCCCCAAGCTTCTCTTATTCTCTTATTCTTTTTATCTTTAATAAACAGTTCTGTTTACATATGTTGTATTATTGTCAGATGCTTCAAATCTATTTTCTTAATAGAAATTGGTGTGAGGTAGAAAATTTAAGAAAATAGACATAGTCTATTGAGACACATGGTCTTGGAGGGTGTAGCCACCGAGCTCCTCTTCATTCTGAGTTCTGGGCTCTTACCCGCTGCTGTAATTCTGAGCCTCACCTCCTGGTGAAGTTCTAGTTCTCACCTCCTGGAAGGGTTTTTTCACTGTGGGTCTGCGGCCTATAACATCCTAGCCTCTCCCCAGGCTCCCTCTCATGAGCCCTCCCTGAGGCCCTCCCAAGCACCTCCCTCCAACAGGATTTGGCTCACCACAGGCCTTCCCACCTCCCTAGGAAAAACCCTGCCCTCCTGGGGCCAAGTGCTGCTGTCACAGGACTTCGAATTGCTGTGCCGGGATGGGAGCCGGGCTGACATCACCGAGTGGAGGCAATGCCACCTGGCCAGGGTGCCCGCTCACGCTGTGGTGGTCCGGGCTGACACAGACGGGGGCCTCATCTTCCGGCTGCTCAACGAAGGCCAGGTGAGTTCAGGGCACATGCACAGCTTCTGGAATGGTGCCGGACCTTCTTGTCTGTCACCAGGGTGGGAGCTCTGAGCTAGAGCCATCCTGGGGCTGGGCCAGCCAGACTACGGTGGGCGAGAACCAGAGACTCTCCCCTGGGATGGACCCCAACTGGGGACCCAGTTCTCTGTGGTGTCCAACCTCAGCCCAGGTCAGCGTAAGGAGGAATCGACTGTGCTAGCTGGCAGTGAGGAGGGCGGGCCAGAGAGGAGAGACCAGGGGACTCAGACACCGCTCAGAGAAAGCCCCTGGTACTTGTGGATCTTAAAACCAAAATTAGAACATAGGAGCAAATAAACAAAATGACAAAACAAATAAATGTGCAATACACTATTAATTAAATGTGGTGAATAACGTTTTGCTAGAACCACTGCTTACAAGAGCAGCAAGTTTCTGGCTTCTGGGCACACCAGCTTTAGTTTGTCCCATTCGTGCCACCACTGCCCTGCCTCCCTGCTTGTCCTCAGTACCATCTCGCACCTGGGCCACGAGTCATGTGTCCAGTCAGCTGAGTGGGACAAGGTAGAATGCGCTGGGGGAGCACAGAGAAGGAGGGAGGTGGTCCTCATCCAGCCTTTAGAGTGGGCGCTTGGCATGAGGGCACAGGAAGGAGGTGGTGGCTGCAGGGAGAGGAATGGATAAGGGACGTGGCCTCGGCAGCCTCAGCAGCCCCCGTCCCCACCCCTCGACACACAGCGCCTGTTCAGCCACGAGGACAGTAGCTTCCAGATGTTCAGCTCTGAGGCCTATGGCCAGAAGAACCTGCTATTCAAAGATGCCACCTCCGAGCTGGTGCCCATTGCCACACAGACCTACGAGGCATGGCTGGGCCCTGAGTACCTGCATGCCATGAAGGGTCTCCTCTGTGATCCCAACCGTAAGTTCACCCATCTCTTCTCCCGCTGTCCCCAGCCCATTCTAAGCACAAGAATGGCAGGGCTTTCTGGAGAGGTGGCCAGGGGAGGACGCCCACCCTGGTAGGTGTGCCCCTTGGTCTTGACCAGAACCTGTCGCTTCTATCGTCTGCCTCTGGGGGTTTGGGGAGGAAACATTTCCAGAGTCCAAACATCTCCAGAGCCCTGCCTCTCCAGGGGGTGGCATCCGGGCCATCAGGGCCTGTCTTGGGAAGGGTCTCCTCACCCCTTCACACCGAAGTCTTCAAGTCCTGTCATTTTCCCTCCACAATGCCTCACTCCTCCTCCTCCCTGGCTCAGCTGCTGCCTCTCACCTCGACCTCTGCAGCAGTCTACAAATGGGTTTCCTTCCTCCAGCCCCCTCCCCCATGTATCCTCCACCTACGAACAAGGACACGGTGTGCCACTGAGTTAGGTACACAGCAGCCAGGCTGTGCCTCACACCTCCTCGCAGCCCCTAGAAAGAGGTACAGTTATCCCCTTTCTATATGAGGACAGAGGATCAGATGGTTAAATAACTTTTCCCTTATAGCTAATGAGGAAAAGAGCCAGAATTCCCCTCAGATCTGACTCCAAGCTCTTTCTACTGAGGCGCCGGCCTCCAAGGCTCCCTCTGCACAGGCCCTGCTCAGGGCGGCCCCTAAAGCGGGCAGCGTGCAGTGACCACATGCCCACACTCAACAGGGCTGCCCCACTACCTGCGCTGGTGTGTGCTGTCCACTCCCGAGATCCAGAAGTGTGGGGACATGGCTGTGGCCTTCAGCCGGCAGAGGCTCAAGCCAGAGATCCAGTGTGTGTCAGCCGAGTCCCCCCAGGACTGCATGGAACGGATCCAGGTGGGGTCTGAGCCTGGAGGGGCAGAACGACCAGGTGGGCGGGCGATGGCAGTGCCCGGGGATGGTCCTTACCCACCCTCCTCCTGCCCCACCTGGTCTGGAGGTTATAGGGCAGCCTGGAGAGGAGAAGAAGGTCTCCTGTGACAACCCCACAGAGAAAGGGAAGGCGGAAAGACCCATGGGAACAGCCCCAGCCCAGGGAATAAGGCAGAAGGGGGCTGTTTCTCCAGAGGAGTCCAGGGACTCCTCGCTGAGCCAGTGGCCAGGAGCAGAAGGAGCGTGAGCTTGGCCCAGCTCGGCTCTGGCTGACCCCGTGGCCTTGGGGAAGCCCCTTCCCCTTTTGCATCTCAGTTTTCCTTGTGCATAATGGGAGTGGACTTGGATCATTGTTTGTTAAAGATTTTGACATTGACTCTCAGTCAGAAATACATTTTACATCCATTATAGTCTAGTACGCAAAAACTTTTCTTTCAGGTATAAATATGTAAAAAAACGTTCTGTATAGAGAGAGCTATGAAACAAAACAGTACTTTCCCTTACTAAGTGCGATGCATGCTGATAGTTTCTGTTCTATTCTAGTCTTTTTTTTTTTTAGCATGTCATGGCCCATTAAATTGATTTGGCATCCTCCAATATGCCTGCCACCTACAGTTAAAACACTTGTCCTGGTCTCAGAGGCCCGTTCAGCTCTGTCCTGCTTCTCTAACGGGAGACTGAGGCAGCCCCAAGGCCCTGCAGGTGGAGATGCAGCCCTACCTTGGCCACGGGTGTCCCGGCAGCGCCTGGGTTCCTGGACTCCTCCCCTCCTGTTTTTTAAGAGCAAGTAGAGGGGACTCGATGGTGAGGAGCTCTTTTCATTGTGGTCCCTAAGCACGGGCCAGACCACAGCCTCTCAGGAGTGCCCACCCTGCCTCAGCTTTATCCCCCGGAGCCTCCGCCACAGGCTCTAAGGCTGCTTCCTTCTAAGATCCAGCTCATTCATCCATTTGCACAAATATGTCTTGCACGCGTGCTGTGTGCCAGGCTTTAGCCAGTGCTGGGGATACGGTACGGTGCTCCAGGGCTCTAAGGACTGGCAATCCATGGGGAGACCCCATACAAAGCATCAGGGCAGGAGTCGTTCTAGGTTTTGCTCAAGAGTCCCTCAGAACCAGGAGACTCTCTCCTGACGACAGGGGACCCTTAGAAAACATTTTCTAAAAGAATGAAACACCCATGAACAGGAGTGCTAGTGGGGGTTGGTTTCAGGCCTCTGGCCCTCCAGGTACCTGTCTTCCCCACGCATCTTTACAAGGAGAGGAAGGGGCCAATGGGCAAGATAGGGTCTCCAGGGGAAGTGAGCCCGAGGCCGGAGTCCCAGAGAGACCCAGCCCTAGTTCCTCCGTCAGATCCCAACACCCAGATCCATCCTGGAGCCCGTGCCAGCCTAGCCGTTCTTTCTGTCCCCCTGCAGGCTGGACAAATCGACGCTGTGACCCTGAGCGGTGAAGACATTTACACAGCGGGGAAGACATATAGCCTGGTTCCCGCAGCAGGGGAGCACTATGCCCGTGAGTGCTGGGGCCAGTGGCCCCGGCGGGGAGGTGGTTGACGTTTATATATATGTACATAATGCCCCCTTGGACATTTCCTAAAGCTCTAGCTCTCCTTGGTGCCTCTGTCCCTGGGCTGGCTGCTGTCTGTCACAGGCAAGCCCCTCCTGCCCCAGGCCTCCGCGTTCCCATCCAGTCCTTGGAAGTCTGGCGGGAGTCAGCGCACTTTCGGTAAAGGGTCAGAACGGAAGCACCTAGGGCTTTGTAGGCCACAGACAGACTCTGCTTCATAGTCTTCTTTTATAACAACTCTTTAAAAATATAAAACCATTCTTAGCTTGCAACCCAAACTATACAAAAACACTCCACTGGGTAGTTTGCCGACCCTGGGCAGAGGCCTCCTAAGCCTCTTCCAGCCTGACCATGTGGCTCACGGAAGGTGGCCCTCCTTCCTGTCAGCTCATGCATGCCTTTGCAGGGACCTGGGTTAGGGCCTTGGTGCTCTGTCCTCTTAAGTGGTGACCTCAGGTCCCTTCCAGTTGGATGTGAAAAATCTCTGCAGCCTCATCTGTGCCTCCATCTTTTTCTGGGGAGGTGAGAAAAATACCACCTGTGTACGGAAAGAAAGAACTCTCTCTGGGTGAGGACTGCCGGAGGGTGAGGGGGTGGAAGAAAGAACTCTGAAAGCAGAGCCTCCGTCTGCTTCTCAGCAATGGGGAGACAGGCAGGGGTCCCACTGCCAGATGTGCTTGCTGCACACACCAGCCCAGCCCTCGGGCCTGGGCACACCCGAGTCGGTGCAGCAGAGGCCTAGGCACTGGGCGAGGCAGGGGCGGGACCGCAGATCTATTGTGGAGAGCACAGGTGAGGGAAGGGGTGAGGGAGAAAGGGCCCGGGATGTGCCCTGCCCTGGCCCAGCTGAGGCCAGGAGAGCACAGAGAGGAGCTTCACTGGTGTCCCCCACCCCCAGCGGAGGACAGGAGCAACTCATACTTCGTGGTGGCCGTGGTGACGCGGAACAGCTCCTACGCCTTCACGCTGGACGAGCTGCGGGGCAAGCGTTCCTGCCACTCGGCCTTCGGCACCCCCGCCGGCTGGGACGTGCCCGTGGGAGCCCTGCTGCAGAGGGGCTTCATCCAGCCCAAGGACTGCGACGTCCTCACAGGTGCCACTTCTTTGGGGTTAGCTGGGGTCAGGGACCCTCTCCTAGCAGGACCCCACAGGAGGCAGCCCCAGCCCTGCTGCAGAGGGGCTTCATCCAGCCCAAGGACTGCGACGTCCTCACAGGTGCCACTCTTCTTTGGGGTTAGCTGGGGTCAGGGACCCTCTCCTAGCAGGACCCCACAGGAGGCAGCCCCGGAGAGGTTTCCTCTTCCTTCTTGATCTAACCCTCACTCTTAGAAAGGTTGAGAACTATTCTTGGCCATACCTTGACAGTCAGGGGTGTCTGTCTGGCGGTTCTGTGGGGACTGCCACGGTGCCCCTACCGCTTACTCGCCCAGAGTGGAACAGGCTCCAGTGGACATGGGGAGCGGGGTGGGCATGGGCTCTGGGCCTGGCTGTATCACCGTTTAGTCGTGGGGCTGTTCCCATCCCCTGGCAGACCTGGGCATCTGGGGACCTACTGGAAAGTGGCCAGCCATCTGTATAAGTGCTGAAGAAGACACTTCTACCAAGCACCCACCATATGCCATCCGTGGGGCCCTCCCCACATGTTAAATCATGCACATTCATGGCGAAAGGGAGGCCGGAGGAAGCTGGCAGGACCCTTGGGCTGACTGCGCACACACCTCTGTGCCGGCTGGCACCTGAGGGAAAAAACCACCTACACAAGCACATGGAGGGTGTTAGGATCAGCTGCTCCCACTCCCACACAGCTGGGCGGGTGCTCTGACTGGAAGAGAATAGCTTATTAGGTAGTGAGTTCCCCGTCCCTGAGGGTGTTCAAGGGAAGGTTAGGTGACCATTTACCGGAGGTTGTCTGTGGAGTTCCTGTATCTACACAACCTCTGTATCCTTCCAAATCCGCGATTCTCACAGGAGGAGGGTGCCGCTCTGGACTGGGTGGGCAGTGGAGCAGATGGGTGGCTTTGAACCGTGGGGCCAGGCAGGGAGGGCAGATCTGTGGGGGAGCAGCCCTCCCATCTCCTCCCTGGCCGCCCTTTCTGCGCCGGCCCCTTGACACTGCCTGTCCCCTCCTCCCCAGCGGTAAGTGAGTTCTTCAGCGCCAGCTGCGTGCCCGTGAACAACCCCAAGCACTACCCCTCCTCTCTGTGCACGCTCTGCGTGGGGGACGAGCAGGGCCGCAACAAGTGTGTGGGCAACAGCCAGGAGAGGTACTTCGGCTACAGCGGCGCCTTCAGGTACTCAGGTGGGCCTGGCGGGTGGGCCTGGGGCCGACTCAGACGCTGGGACCCTCCCGCCAACAACCACCTTGGCCTCTTGCGTGGCAGGTGCCTGGTTGAGAACGCGGGGGACGTCGCCTTTGTCAAGCACACGACTGTCTTTGACAATACAAATGGTACACTACAGGGGCTGGGGCCAGAGCAGGGCCAGATTCGGGTGGGGGGGTGCTGTTCCCCAATGTGATCCAGGCACTGGAGTTGCCAGGACTGGAGTCAAAGAACAATGGGAAAGGCTGAGTCTTAGAAGGCTCTGCCCCTTGGGGACCCCAGGAGCCCCAGGGGCCTCTTGGTAAGAACAGACCTCTGGCCACACATCCAGGTGCACAGGACACACGACAGTCTTTCCTGGTCTGGAGTCCGAGTCCCCATTCCACCGAATGGTAGCGACTCAGTCTCCATCAATGCGGAGTGGCCCTTCTAGAGTATTTGTGTGGTACTAAGGGGTGTGGGTGGGGATGGCAGGGGCCTCTCTCCACAGAGTCATCGGTTCACATCAGCATCTGGTCTTCAGTCCTGAGCAGGTCAATGTCACATGCAGAGAGATCACTCTGCAGCCCCCTGAGCCCAGGAGGCAGGGCACACCCCCACTCACGCGGGTGGTTTTTCTCTGGAGTCATGTTCCAAGACTCCCCGTGGGAAAAAGAGCTCAGAGCTCAGAGCTCTGTGCTCCAGGACCTGCTAAGCCCGCATCTGGGTTCCTGTCAGGGGGCAGGACCTTTTACCACGCATCGCTTCGTTCCCCCTCCTGTTCTTCCTCTGTCGGTGAATCTATCCTTTCCGAAAACTGGAGGCTGTTTCCCTCTAACACTTGTCGTTTTGTACTTTCTGCATATCCTGCCTAAACCCAGGCTTCGAAACCCCAAATGCTGGAGGCACAGTCTTCTCCACTCTGTCCTAACACATCTCTGCCCAGAAAGTCGGTGCAGAAAGGCATAATGTGGCCCAAAGGGGAGGTGGAGATTGGTGAAAGGGAAGCAAGATGTGCAGGAAAAAAAAACACCAGTTAATATTTCAAAACTCAGATCCCATCCTGCCGATGAAGGTCACCAAGGCTGCAGACCAGTTGCCCCGAGCCCTCTCCCCTGCCACCCTCCCATCAAGAACTCTGGGGAACATCCCCAAGGAGGAGGAAGCTGACTGCTCCTACAGGAGCCCGTGAGCCCTGCCTGGCCCCAACCCCATGGCCTCTGTGGTCGGGGGGGGGCGGGGGGCCTTGTGAGAATCACTTGCAGTGAGACGCCCACCTTCCAAGGTTGCTTGTTTCCCTTTATTTTTACCTCTACTCGTGGACCCACATGGAGTTTCTTCTGGAAATAGGAAGAGGGTGGATCCTAAGAGAGACATAAAAATAATGCGACTCCCAAGGGCGGTGTTTCTCGGGAAGCCCCTGGACCAACCACCCACTTCGGAATCACTGAGATGTCGGTTTAAAATGCAGGGGCCTGGACCTCCCCCTAGACCTACTGAATGACATTCTTTATAAATAGGGGTCTTGGAACTGCCTCTTACTGGTCTACACATGTTATACCCCATCCAATTTGAGAACTTGAGCCATTAGGGGAGGAGGTCAACCACCACCTTCAGGAACCCATCCCACCCTCAGGCCCGAGACCTGTAACACACAGATGGCATTCTTTGCCCGGGAGTGGTTAAGAACCTCAGTTTCTTCATCTGTAAAATGGGGATGATCATACCTGCCTTGTGTTACTGTCATGAGGATGGAGCAGTGCTTATAAAATGCCTGTCGCATAGTAGGTACTCCCTTATTCCCTACGAACAGTAGTTCCTGCCAACACTATGAGCCTAGACGGTAATAGAGCATAGTAACTGGAAAATGGAGAGTGCTGGGTAGCTGGCCGGACGTTGCCACCTCTCCCAAGTCAAAGGCAAAAGACATCGCCTTTCCTCCCCAGATCCAGGAGAAAGAAGCCTCTCTCTATTCCTCCCTCCCTCTCCCTCTGCTCCACCCCCTCAGGCCACAATTCTGAGCCTTGGGCCGCTGAGCTCAGGTCAGAGGACTATGAGCTGCTGTGTCCCAATGGGGCCCGGGCCGAGGTGTCCCAGTTTGCAGACTGCAACCTGGCACAGATACCGTCCCATGCCGTCATGGTCCGGCCAGACACCAACATCTTCACTGTGTATGGACTGCTAGACAAGGCCCAGGTGAGTCAGGGTGGGGGCTGCAACCTTTGGGGGGAGGGGGGTGGTGGGCGACAGAGGTGAGTGAAGCTTTTGGGATACCTCCGTCTACCTGGAGCAGACCTCAGGAGAAACTAAGGATGGCTGGGGGGAAATTCTGTGATTTTTCACTTAGCCAAGGACATCCCTCCATCCACTCTCCCCTCTGTCTCCTGCATTAGTAATTCCCCCTTCTCAGCTGGACCGTTTTCATGCTGCTATTTCTACCATCAGAACAAAACAAAACAAAACACTCTCTTGGCCTCACATCCTCTTATAGTCATAATCCCACTCTCCTTTACAGCAAAACTCCTTCCAAAAATCACCTCTGCTCTGGAGCCTCCTTCCGGTCTCTCTAGACCAGCCCCCATCAGAGACCTGAACCTGCCCTGGTCAAGAGCACAGTGAGCCATGTTGCTAAGTCCAGTGGCTGTTTTTCAGTCCACATCTACCTGACCTCTCACCAGCACTGGCTGCAGCTCCGTCTTTCAACTCCTTTGTTCTGAAAGCACTTTTCCCCTCGGCTCACGGCCCACACCTGCCTGGCTCTCCGCCCTCCCTCTCCAGACACCCCTCCAGTCTCCTGTGTTGGTTCCTCCTCATTTCCAGCCTGCAACAGCTAGAATGCCCCAGTGTTCAATCCTGACCCTCCTCTCTGCCACGCCTACCTCCTCTGTGGGTCTCATCCAGTCCCATCCATGTCATTAACACCCATCTATACATTGATGGCTCCTAAATGGACATCTTCAGCCCTGCCGCCATCCACCCTTCAGCCTCAAACTCACATCTTTAACAACTACCTACTTGACATTTCAGCCGGTTTTTCAAACAGGCATCTCACACCAAACAAGTTCAAGTTTTTTTCTTCTTCCTTCAGCCTTTCCCTTTCCTCGGGAGTTATCTTGAACTCCAGTCTTCCTCTCACGTCCTACATCCAATCCAGCAGCAAATCCTGTTGGCTGCACTTTCAAAATGCATCTAGAATTGGAACCTAGGCTGACAAGGGGATCCTCGGTTCCTAACCCACCCTCTCTCCTCTCCTCCCACCTTCTCCCTAAACTTTCTGATGTGACGTGGGAGAAGGACCCTGTGTGGATGTGCATTTTTCTGGGGAGAAGGCCGATACTGTCATCAGATCCTCAAGAGTATCCTTGAATTTCCCCCAAATGATTGGTCACCTCTTCACTCCTTACTGTGGTAGTGTTATCATATCTTACTCCAAGTCCCCTTTGATAACAGAGGTCCGTGAGTTGTCAAGCTTCCAATTTCAATTCAGAGTCTTGGCACCCTGAAATTCCCTGATCTTTGATTCATCATATGTAAAGAAAGCAATGAATAGCAGATGGCACCTGAGTGACCATTTGTGAGCCCGGATGAAAAGCAGGTCTGCTTGTGGTGCTTCCAGGATCGGTTTGGCGATGACCACAATAAGAATGGTTTCAAAATGTTTGACTCCTCCGACTATCATGGCCAAGACCTGCTTTTCAAGGACGCCACAATCCGGGCAGTGCCCGTGGGGGAGAAAACCACATACCGTGACTGGCTGGGCCTCGACTACGTGGCAGCTCTGGAAGGGATGCTGTCTCAGCAGTGCTCGGGTGCAGGTAGGGCTGTAGTACCCCTGGACGGGCTCATTCACACCCATTACTAGAGGAGGAGCGGGTGTCCTGCCATATTTCCCTGCAGCATTCTGGGCCTTTCGCCCAAAACCCTTGGGTGATCCGAAGGGTGCTCTGAGTCGTTACAAACAATCAAGGTGAAGTGTCTCAGGAGGGACTGAACGGGAAGGCTACAGTTACAGCAGAAACACTGGCTATATAACCCAGACAGACAGGGATAATGAATATAAATGCTAAAAATACTCTTCCAGAAGGGATGAGGCAACTACATAAATATACATGTAGTATAATTTTAAAAAGAATGAATATGTAAAGAAACCAGGGGAAAGAGAAATTGTGACAGGGTAGAAAGAGGGAGACTGGGTGAGTTTAGTGCACAGAAATGCGCTCGGTCAAGCCCTGCACACGAGTGCCAGCCTAGGTGCCTCCTGGCCTTAATGCCTGTATTTCATCCCTCAGTGGTCACTGCCCCCAGGGCCTCTCTGCTCCTGCCGCTGCTCCCACTGGCCCTCACAGTCGGCCTCCTCCAGCCCTCCCTCTGAAGCAGCTCTGGGCGAGCTTCACACTCCCTCGGAATGGACACCTACTTGGAAATCTCTATAAATAAGGCTGTTCTCCTCAGTAAATCCAGCTAACACTGCTCAGAGAGAAACATGTGATGGGAGAGGAAATGTGAGAAACCATGGAGCTCCTCAGAGCTGTGATTCCGACACAGAAGTTTCTGTGATCACTTCAAAGTGGAATAAAGATGAATCTCAAAGGAAAGACCCCCAGCCTCGAGTTGGACATGAGCAGGTCTCTCATGCTGGAACCCAGCCTCTGCCTCCCAAGCACCACCTGTCGCTCAGCTACCTGAGGCGTGCTGGCCGGCCTCCCAGTCACGGCCCACCCACAGGCTGCCACTGCTTCCCTGCAAATCTGCAGGCTCCCACCACACGGGGCCTCACCAGGCTTGGGTTTGGAAAAGGCCAGTTACCAAAGAAACAGGCTGAATCCAGGCTTCCCACACGGCCCTCTCTATCCTGGAGCCACTCAGGGGGGCCTGGAGAGATGGCACGCCCTACCGTCACCGCCCCTGTCTGTTCCCACTTCCTCCTGTGGAGAATGGACACTGCACCTCCTATCAGCCTCTGCTCCATCTGGCCTCCAGGCTCTACATTCCAGCCTCCCTCCTGAGGACGTTGTGTCTGTCCACTGACATCCACCAGATGAGACCACAGCCAGGCCTTCCAAGATGGAGAAGCTGCTGGGCACAGGCAGCCCCTTGTCCTTGTCTTCTGGGGCTTGGCTTAGCCCAGACCATTGGACCCCTGATTGTACTGGGCTGGTGAGGGCAGGGAGTCTAGAGCTGGACCGTAGGAATGAAACCCTCAAGGGACCTTCAGACAAAGGAAATGCTTCTTAGTAAGAATTGTTACTAAGTGTGAGAATTGATGCAGGGTCGGGGCTCCAAAATCCTGCCTAAACCCCTGTCTGCTGTAAGGAGGGCAGGCCTCAGAGTGGGACATGCTGTGTGCCCTGCCTTTCAGTGAATTCAGCCGCACCAGCCTGTGTCCCAGGGTTAAGCCCACTCCTGTTTCCTCCCCTTAGTCTCCAGTTCAAATCATTCCCTTCTACCCAGTGTGACACCCACCATTCCACAGCCACCTCTATATATCCTACAGCAGCAGTTGCCTCCAGACTGAAGGGCTCAGCCTGGGGGATTTCCTGGGGAGCCCCAGGCCCTGGAGCAGAGCAGGAGGTAGCCCAGACCTCTGGGACAGCATGAGGCCCTCTGAAGAGCTAGGAATGAGGAGATGCCAGTCCCTTTGTCAGAGGAGCCACAGGCCTGGGTTACATACTAATGAGAGCTTTGTCTCCTCACAGTGTAATCAGGGGGTCTCTTCACCCAGCCCTGCACCAAGTGGGCCTGAGGACCACTCACTCCAGAGGAAGAGTCCCTCCTTCCTGTCCCCTGTGAGAGTCCCTCCTTCCTGTCCCCTGTGAGAGTCCCTCCTTCTTGTCCTCTGTGAGAGTCCCCCCTTCCTGTCCCCTGTGAGAGTCCTTCCTTCTTGTCCTCTGTGAGAGTCAGCAGAAAGTGCTTGAAGAGGATCTTCTCTACTCCATTATTGCCACGGTTGTCTGAGGAGCCAGGAAAAGTTTCCAGAACTGCCAGCTCTTACTCTGAATTTTGCTCCCAGAAAAAAAAGAGAGAGAGAAGGAACAGCAGCAAGCCACCCTCGTCAGCAGACCGGGAGCCGCGTGGGCCTAGAGCTATTTGCATCCCAGTGTGCGGGTGCCTCAGGGACACTGATGACAAGCTGGGTTCCCAGTGCTGCACCCCCACCTGTGGGCGTTGGGATGGATTCCTTCCATCTCTCAGCAGCAAAGAAGGCCCCTGGCAGCATCCTGGGGTAGTCATACCATCCTGCAGGGTCACAGTGCTGGAGCAAGCCTCCACCCACTACGGGGGGCCAGACGGAGCCAGCTTCTACTACCAAGCTTTGTACCTTCTTCCCTCGGGGGAGCGAGTGATTCTTCTCTGACCTGATGATTGTTTGATTTTTTTTAAGGGAGGTTTGTATAGTGAGAAGTATATTTCTGTGTGGCTACCCTGGGCTAGTGTGCCACCCAGGCACACTAGTGTGAGCCACCGAAGGTGTGACCTGAGTGAATGCTGTGTGACGTTTGATTGTCAGGTGACAGCAGGGGGCCACCGCTGTGTTAGTGCTAATAAAGGATGTTGGTTTGTTCTTTTCAATAAAGCAGAACAACCCTGCAGCTGCTGAGGCTTGGATTTTTAATAGAAACTCTGCTGCTGATTGGTTTTGTCTTCTTAGGAAGTCAGAGGCTGACCTGCCACTCCCCTGCCCACTCATAACGGCAGTTTCCACTCAGAGCCCTGTTCCCTGTTCTCTGAGAGCCAGAGTCAGGCACCAGTCTGGGCCTCCAGCCAGTGAGGCCACCAACTCTCCCCTCCAATCTGGACTGATCCCCAGCACATTCTAGCTGCCTCCACCCCCTCAGCCTCTTGGGTGTCTGCTAATCTGGGGACTGGATACAGAGGAGGATGCAAACTCCTCCAACACCCCCCTGCCCTGTGTCTCCAAAATAAGCCATCCATGTCTTTTCTTTAGCAAGTTACATAGTTATAGGGGTAAGGGGGTGGATGGTGGGGGTCAGATCTCTGACAGTCCTCACAGTGGGTGCTCTCCAGCCTGTCCTAAAGTGACAGCAGGGCTGGTCTTAGCTCTGATTTTGCTCAGACAGTAAAGGTTTTCTATATTCCCCTCTCCCACAGCTCCTGCCCTTCACTCTGCCCCCAGGCCATTCTCTCTCCCTCAGTGCGGCCATATCATAGAGCTGGGTCTCACTCCCCACTGCACATAGGCCATTCCCAGGCAGTTGACCCAATCGTCATGAAGCTGGGCAGCCTGGGGACCTGGTGGCAGAAGTTGATGACGGTGTCTCTACACCACATGGCAGTTTCAGGACTTGGCTCTCCTGGTGCTGTCCCTGCCCACTCCTCACCCCCCGCCACGTGCCTTTGAGGCTTTGGGAGGGTTATGTAACATCTGAACCCCAGCTCCTCATCTGAAAATATAAGCTGAATTATAATACTCACCTGGTGAGATTGTTGTAAATACTGGATTACACTACACATAAAACACTCAGCACCAAGCTTGGCACATCGCAGGTGCAAGAAAGACATTCACTGTGACTATTGCCATTACTCCAAGGGCTTTTTTGTGGGGCTTAAGTTTCAAATTCCTGAGAGAGATCATCTGATTGGCCCAATGTGGGTCAGGTGTCTCCTACTGGACCAGTCAGCTCAGGCTGGCAGCAGAATGCCTAGCTGAAACTTGACCACTGAGGTCCCAGAGAAAGAGGAAATTAAAGCATTGTGAGCCAGGCAGCCACCCCAACAGGTAGCTACCAGGCCTGATTTTTGTGATATTTGGCATTCCTTGAGCAAATATTTATTGGTACCTATTAGTACCCCTAGACGTGGGCAAGAAAGACCCTGAGCCTGGGTTTTGCGCGTTAGAGCAGTGCTTTCCAAACCTTGATGTGCACATGAATCTTTAAGACCTTGTCAACATGCCGATTCTGATTCAGTAGGTCTGGAGCATAGTTAAGAGCCTGCAACTCTAACCAGCTCCCAGGTGCTGCTCATGCTGCTGGTCCAGGAGCCACATTTTGAGAAGGAGCCCCCCTCTAATCACTCAGTGGGAGGATCACAGGAGAAGGGATGTGTTCACCCAGAACTCATACCCTATCTTGAACACCATGCTCCTGAAATTCTTATTCCAAGTAGTCCTAAGCCAGCTTCCAGGATTGGGACAGGCCTCTCCTCCAGGTCTTGTCTCCCAAAGGTGGTCAAAGGTGGCTCTTTGCAGGAGGTATAGATGGAGCTTGATGATGAACAGGCCACAGTGTCCACTTGCACATGCACAAGCCCCTCAAAATATGAGATGGAGCCTGGATGGAAAGAGAAGGGTTAGACTGCAGGGTAGGATCCTGTTCTCTCTGCACTTCATATTCCAGTCTGCCAAGTCTTCATAAGGTTTATTTGTCAATGTAGGAAAACAGGATACATATTTAAGTTTGTGAGCTTGATTTGTAACTTCTAAATTTGTAGCCATATGTAGGTGGGCCCCCATTGGTACTCTTGTCCTGGGCCCCACAAATGGTCAGTGTGGGCTGGCCTGCTGTGTGCACAGCTATCTAGCTCTGATAATCCTGTTCTCAGGGCTCTGAAGATGCAAAGAAGTAAGTTTAAGGCCCACTTCCTCTGCACTTGTCATTTGGAGAGGCCTCTGGGCTGGTGGGCTGGAAGAAGGGATAGTGAGATGAGTGACACCCTAGCGAGGACAGGCAGGTCTGTTTGGCCCACACGGCACATCACAGACAAAGTGTCATCCCCACCTTTAGACTCCTCCCCAGGGCTTTCTTTACATGAGGATGAATTCCTTAGAAGCACATTCTTATAAAAGAATCACACAATAGGTATAAATGCTACAATTTTTTTAGAAAATATTTCAATTTGGAAACATAATTAGATCATTCACCTAGGATTCTAGTTCCACTTTTACTCTTCAATTTGGGCAAATACTTTCTTCTGTCTCAATCTCACTTCCCAAATCTATGAAATGGAAACTTGGATGGTCCCTAGCTCTAATAATTCTTAGATTCAAAATTCTCAGTCTTCACAGGATTATTGCCTGGTCTGTGCTGAAGCACAGAGGGGCCAGGTGGGCTCTTTTTGATCTGTCTTTCCCACTTGCCTTTGGGTTGGCACTAACAGCCCCGAAGCTGTTTCACAGCCTGCGAATCATTATATATCACTGGTCAGAATCACCTGGAGGGCTCGTTAAAACAGAGTACCGGGCCCCACCCCCAGAGTCTCTGATTCCATGGGACTCAGGTGGGGTCCGAGAATGCATTTCTGGCAAATTCTCAGGTGAGGCTGATGTTGCTGATCAGGGCACCTCACTTTTGAATACCACTGTGAAGGACAGTGTGAGCTCACACCCCGTGATGAAAGCATGACCCCATGAGCTGCCTGCCCCAGCAGGGTGGAGGGCTCGGGTGGGAAGAGTGTTACGAGGTCCTCATGGAGGAAGCTGGGTCCAGCCTGGAAGAAGGGGCAGACCTGTGACCATGGCTTTGGTGCACTCCATGAGGAGAGGTGGGATGTGCAAGGCAATGCCAAAGCACCCTGCCCAGGTGTCCCGGCAGGGAGCTGAGGGTCTGGGGTACCATTCTGGAGCCACGCCCCTTTCCCTAGCACAGGGGCTCTCTCATCCTCCTGATCCCGTGCTCTTGTACTCACCACCTCGAATTTTTAAGTAGGGCTTTCAGGAAGAAGGGAGGACTCAAAGATTAGCATGAGGAGGATGTGTGGTCAGAATACCCCCTCTTCCTTTTCCTAGCTTCTGATATCCTCAGAAACCTCCAACTTGGCAGAAAATCTACTTTAGATTCTCTACTGTGGCCAACTTTTGGGACATTGGCGGATGAAGACAAGGGCCTGATGACTTACGGAGCAGGGCATTCTTAGCTAATCCGAATCCAGTCAACTTCATGGCAGACTCTACCTGTGACCATCTAATATCCTTCTATCATTTTTTTTTTTTTTTTAGCAGACCTCAATTTGGTTCAGGATGGCAATGAACCAAAATATTACCATCTAATATCCTTCTATCATTTTTTTTTTTTTTAGCAGACCCCAGTTTGGTTCAGGATGGCAATGAACCAAAATATTCACTATTACACACACACATGCACGCACACACACACACACGCACACACACACACCACACAAATATTCACTATGGGCAATCAGGCAACCCAGTTCTGGCCAATGAATCATAAGTGGAAGTTAGAGGGTATGGATTTCAGGTAGGTGTTTCAAAGGACAAGCTGAGCTAGCATAGCCTTTCCCCCTACTCCTGCCCGGAAAGCAGATACAATAGCTGGGAAATGGAGCAGCCACCTTGCTATGTGAAGGAACAGCACACAGCAAAGGACCTGGTGAGCAGAGCAAAAAATGGAAGCATGGGGGTCGAGTGGTAGCCCCCAGGCCTGGACTAGTCTGATCCGACTCCCTGACAGCTAACCTGGTGTTCTGTTGTTTCAGCTGAATATATTTCTAACTGATACCAGTGATAACAGAGGAGAGGGGACAACATGGGCCCTTGGAACATGTCCTGGCTTTGGAACAGGCCGTGTGACTCAGGGAAAGTCATGGCTCCTGTCTAGGCCCCTATCTCTTCATCTGTGGGGATGAACTAGCAGTTCTTCTGTGGTTCAGAATCAAGAACCAGAACTGCTCCCAGTTGAAAGCTCCAGGGCTGGATCTAAGGGAGGATTTCAGTGATGGGGCAAGAAGTCACCTTGGGAATAGGTGACATCTGGGGTCAGTGTCTTATCAGTGTTGAGCCAAAGAGAGATCTTAAAGCACAGAATTACAGGTGTCACCAATAACTCAGTCCAATTGTCGTAAGCCTTTGAACATCCCTAAAGGGCTTCACACTTGTTCCTGGAAGCTCTATAGACCTATGCCCTTCCCCATAGCCCTCATAGTCAGGGGAATGGCCAGTTGGAGCTCTCACTGCTCCTGGGAAGGACAGAGCCTGGTGCCACCACAGGAGGGAAGGTTGAGACCCTTCTGATTGGTGTCAGCCAGGTCATGAGCTGACCTCTGAGATGTGTGGATTGGCTTAGGCCTGGGTCACATGTTATGACCACGGTTCTGGGGACTGAACATCCACTCTTGCAGTACAAGCCCTAAGATTGAGGAAGGGAATGGAAAAGAAGTTCACTGGGATTAAAGGGTGGGAAATACATGCAGGCTGCCCCAAACCACACCGTCCTTCACTTGGCCCAGCCATCGCCCTGTCCTGAGATGAATTCATTACGGCGCCTATCAATTCTATGAGCTCTCTGAGGGTGGGGCCCTACTATCTCAGCAAGAGAAAAAATGCAGCAAAAATACCTTTCAAAGTCCATCTCGTGGCCAGAGGCGCTAATGGGTGGCTATGACAGCCAAGTTTGCAATCAGGCGGGTAGGAGTTAGCTCAGAATGCTCACCTTACAGAGATGACCTGGGAGCCTCAGTAAATAGGATCCCACCGCCAAGACTTGAGGACTCTCCTGTGCTCTTCCTCTCTCCCTATCCACCTCCTTCGGAAGGCCTCCTCTGGACCCCAAGCCTATAGA